CTAGTCTACACTTTGAAATGTCGAAGACAGTGGGAGATTTATTTTTTATATTTTATATTTATATAATTTATATATCAATAGTTCGTATCTCCACGAACAATGACAGAATGACTGAGTTTCTTTAAAATACAATGAAATTTCACTCAAAATTCTGTTTGTTTCAAATTGGAAGTTTAAAATGGCAATAAAAACTCTATATAAAATATGAAAAAATTAACTGTCTTGAATTATTTTGTCGGGCTGTACATTTATATTGTGTAACTAAAAATAAAACGTTTTCACGAGGATTTTAAAATTCAGTCGGGCGGTGATGAGAATCAAGGAATTTATTTTATGTTGGGCAGTTGGGACTTGGGAGCAGCTTGGGGAGTGGCTAATTTTGAATATTTACTAATTAATTCATCTATAAATAGCGTTGATGCTTCAGGGGCGGTAGTTCATTTACACCCAGTTTTGCGGCAGGCGGTATTTCCTACGTACCGCCTGCCATGCAGGCTAACATATTACGGAGTGTACAATTACACAACTCAATATATATATATATATATATATATATATATATATATATATATATATATATATATATATATATATATATATATATATATATATATATATATATATATATATATATATATATATATAATTATTGTAGCTGTTAAGTTATTTTCCATACCAGTGAATTTAGGTAAGCTTGTCTTGCAAATGGGTTGTTCTGACAAAATTATCCAGTCGATATCCAGTACATTTATTCATCATTCTTGTATTAATCTCCAAACAAAAACATTTAAATTTTATGTTAGAAAGCAAAATGACAATGTAAAGAGGCGGGTGGGTGGGTATTCTGTTATTAGCATTTGAAAATGTTTGTAAAAAATTTGTTTAATTAACTCTAATGTGCATAGAAAAAAATGTATAAATATTTTACCTGCTAACATCTTTAACCTTTGCTCTAACACTACATGTACATTTGATGACAGCTTAGTTGTATTGTTGTTTTTGAATAGAGTTAGGCTACGTAGTCTACACTACAGAAATACAGGACCATGGTGGATTTAATTCAATATCTCCTGAGAATTAACAATATAGTTTCCTTTGATATTGTTCACTGGCAATATTGCCTGCCATGTTTTGAGTATTCAAAACATTACAGAATGATTTTTTTTACTGTATTATACAGTAAATGTTTTTGTGAACTATGTTGACAAATGGCTTAATATAAAATATCCAATTAATAAAAATATGTGGTATTAGACTACATACCAGATAAGTTTCCATGTTGATAGATAACTTCGGAATAATATCTCAAATAGAATCGAGAGGAAACAAGACAGCCAATTCAAGATAAAATAAGACATTTTTGAAGCCAAAATGCCAAAAATGCATGGCAAAGAATATTAAATACGAGGCCAAACTATGCCCGTTCGCAGGTTAGATGCGGGCACGATGTAAAAAATTGATGTAAACTAATCGCTGATTGGTTTCGCAGATATAAATGTTGTTTGAGACTGAAATAGTCACTCATTGAATGGCCGCCATAATAATAATAATAATAATAATAATAATAATAGCTTTATTCATCCATCTTAAAATAAAAAAGTACAATGGACTTACAATTACTTGTTAAGAAAGTATATGCTGTGAAATATGTCTTTGTATTACAAATTTTTCTTATTAAGATAATTTAGAAAACTAACTAAGAAGTTAAAACTATTTATAAATATTTACCATGCAGCTCTTCCTAAAAAAAGAGAGTTTATGCCTTTCAGTTCCTGAGAAGAATGATCAATTGCGATTCCGGTTAATGTTCCTTAAATTGTACTGATTGTTAATTAATTTTGGCAAAACACTGTGACAGGGATGGTTTGGATCGTTCATAAATCTATCCACTTCTCGAGCAGTTGCCTCTTTCTTTCTTTCGTTCAACGGTGGCAGGTAATCGTTTTACAGATCAAGGATTCGTAAGCTCCTGGATTGAACCAGCTCTATTTCATCTCGCAGGTAGTTAGGGAGTCCCGCCCATAATTGGTCTTATTTTGGAATGATAGGTAATAATACCGACTTCGACTGGTATAACTGCGATTTCCTGCATTCTCTAAGATGGTAAAGAGGCGTTTATTTGCTTTTCGTGTAATCTCTTCAACATGTGCGTTCCATTTTAGATTATTTTGGAACGACACGCCAAGTAATTTAAAAACGTTAACCATTTCTATAAACTCATTTCCATTACGAAGACGTGGCGGTTCAGGTATAGCGTCTGTGCATGAAAGAGATCCACATGTCCTAAATCCATGATGTAAATGTCGAGGGTTAAATGTCGAATATTACATGTCGTGAGTGAAATTATAACCAAAAAATACTATAATAAGGTTAATAGGTAACCGTTTCGGATAAGGAAATAGCGGCGTCTAGGTGTCTATATATAGATACATATACAAACTTTATTTAATTTAATCACGCTAGCTTCAACAGTCGTTGGGCAAATATTGCGCACAATAAAAACTGATAAACTGCGCACGTTTAAATCAATAAAATCTAATAAACTTATAAAGAGTTCCTGTCTACCTTAAAATTTAACGATAGGTACTCGGAGTTTTACGCCTGAGTTTCACGCCTTAATCTGCTTGCGGAATAATAATTTAGCCGATCAAGCACCGATACAGTATACTACAAACGAACCTTCTATACATATCAAGTCGCGATATTAATTGAAATACAGTATAAAAAAGTTCAAGAAATATTTGTAGTACTGCGCAAGAAAATCCAGTTTCAGACATAAAACCAAGGCGTTAAAAATTAGTATAAATTAAAAAAAACCGCCCGCCCGCTCCCACTTTAATTTTGCTAAAGCTAAGGACGCTAACCAATTACTTTTTTATGTGGCCTTAGTGATGTAATATAGTTTGTGCAGAAAATAAGCAATATATAACTGATTTTATTGCTGCACTATGTCGACCGGCACGGCTGGATGCAAATGCATCAGCATGCACGCAAAGCTATACGCTAGCTATGGCATATTAGGGAGTTTTTAAGCGTTCAAACGTCAAATGGCAAACGCTAGGGGAAGAAAAATTACGCTACAACGAGAAGATGAAGAGAAGAAGTTAAGAGGGAATCTCCACTATCACCGAGCAACAGGTGGCATATGATAAAAAATGAAATGTTGGCTTACTTTGTCCAGAGATACACTAATGTATACTCAGAAACGTGACTGTGGTTTGTTTTCTGAAATATTATTTTAAAGGCGAAAATTCGTGAAATTAGCTAAAAACATGGCGAGTCATAACTTCTGGAAAACTTCGTTTTGCTCAGTTCGCGTCTTCAGGAAACATCACTTTCGGTTTTTAACATATATATAAGATGTTTGTAAACAACGATAGTCTATTTTGCAATCTTTTAAATGATGTTTCAAAGTCAATGCAAGCGTGTAAAAATCGCCTTATTTTGCGTTCCAAAAAATTCTAAATTGGTACACTTTTTGAAAATTAATTTTCCCTATCCGGGAAAACTCCAATTTCCTTGAAATTTAGGGAATTTAAAGAGAAACTATTGCTCTAAAAGCTGATGTAAAAATTATTTTGGGGCTTTTTGTTACCGCGGAATTATACTGACTAAAATATCGAGAAAATTACAAGAAAAACCTTAAGTTAAAAAAATTTTAAGGTTTGTACATTTTTTGAAAAGCTTGTTTTATTGTAATAAATGTCGCTGTCACTTTTGACCCATAACACAAATCGCAATTTGTCGCTTTTTCCCAGTCCAGAAGCTGTCGTTTGTCGCTGTTTTTTAGATAGTATGTCGCCTCTTTTTGAGGAATGTCGCCTGTCGGTCATAACCCCTTGGTGGGCCTCTATAATATGCATATTGCGTTACACAATTATTTCGTATTTATCACAGTAATATACACAATACACCAGGCACATTATACACTATTATAAAGAGCTTTTATTGCCAGTATAGCTTTGTAGCTTGATCTATCCTAAATTTTGTTTTGGCATGGAATAGCATGAGATCCAGCTTGTATTTTTAAAATAAACACACGCTTCTGTGATACATGATCAATATAACTATCGACTTTTTAAAATTTAATATAGCATCAAACTAATGCCGCATTAGAGACACTAAACAGCCTATCAATATATCAATGGAAACTTTAAATAAAATGCTTATTCATAAAGTAATGCTATGTATGTGCGAGACTTTGTGCGAGACTTTTATGAATAATGTAAATATATATCCCTCATAACAAAATGTTGAGACACTTTATATCATGCACATATCATACTTTTCTAAATCTTATTTGCTATATTATTCACGGGACAAGGTATAAAAGGCGGGCAGATAGCTATAGAATTATATAATAGAAAATACTGCGCTATACTTCCTTCAAATGTTCAACAACATACTAGTTTAGTGCAAGGAAAAATGGAAAAGCATACAGTTGTCTTATAATTCTGTACTGTATCGTAGCTTCTCTAACAATTTTTGCATGTACCTTAATCCTTATACACTCCTTACAGTACCCAGTGTTTAATATAAACAATCAATATTTTTTAATAAAATCAGTACTTAGCATATAAACAGTCTATAAACAGGTTTAGAATGAATAAAATGGACATTCAATGTCCATTTGAGTATTTGGCAATTTGGCTAGTGTCCAAATCATGCAGTCGTTCTCGAGACCTCCGTTAAAATTAATAAGAAATTAAAATCAATGCAAAGTTTATACCGTTTCCAGATAACAACAATTTAGTGACATATAAGATTATAAATATGTGAACCAATTTAAGGGCAAAGGCAGAGCAGACATATATACGTGTGAAATGAAGTAACTTTAAGTGCGCTGAAGCCCCTAGAGAACATATACGATCGTACGTATTTATTGCTTGATTTCTTGACTTGTTGCCATAAAAATATGTTTAGCATGTACTAGTTTTATAATTTACTGTAAGAATAAATAGAAATTAATCAAATTTAGCAAGTATTTTGACGAGCGTACGTGTTGTCACCCCTTGCGATCGAAGTGTTAAGTGCGGAAGTGGAAGCATGTAATATGATACTTTTCCCACACCCTCTTGGCAATCAATTTTCTGTGAGCCACGTGACCAGCTCCGACCAGGGTCTTTCCTTCCCCGAAGAAAGAGCCTGGGAACGAGGTTGAGATATAGACTGTCGAAACGTGGGGATTTATACTTGTTTTCTCTTGTTATTTGGTTTTGACAGATAAATTGTAAATAATTTTAAATTATTTTGCTTGTTTATTGGGATTTTAGAGAAATAAATAGTCAATATGAACATCATGTTGCAAAAGCTCGGTGCGCGTGACTTGACTAAGACAAAAAATCAGTTATTGATAGCCTG